AGAGAGAGAGTTTAAATATTCAATATTTACACTATTGAAGTGCATATAAAAGTAGACATAATATACATATTTATACATATTATATAACAATAATAATAATTTTGGTAAAATAAATATTGAATACAATTATAATGTAATTCAATTGAAAAGATGGGACAAAACGGTTTACATTAGACGTGTAAATGTAATGTAACGAGAATTTAATTCAAACACACATTTATGGTCACAAAATGTATAATGAAAACCAGTGACTCTTCTCTTCAATCATACGTGTGTTTACATAAGGAATATTGTGTACAATTCATATCTTATCGGAGAATAAATGAATGAATAGACTTCAATGTCACCGGGACTTCAATGCACATACATGTGTACCTGTGCTCCACTGCTTTTATCATTACCACGATGTAGTCTATACAGTGTATACCGATTCTATTTAAACTCAATATTTATTTAGATAAATACATATCTAAATGATAATCCCATTAAAGTTATTCGCTTCAAAGCCTTAACTTTTTTACACATTATATGAAAAGATGAAAGAACTGCAGAATATTCTTCAATTATTGCATAATAATACAGATAAGTAGTGGTAAAGAGAATACATGCATATATTATGATGTCTTAATATTTTTAGAAAGACTTGTTATAAGCTAAAAATAGAGTTGTATTTAGTAGACTATATGTTATCTCATTTGCTACGGCACCCACAGGACAGGTATTGGGCGATTCACGACCCCATCAATTATGCTCAAAAGCGGACAATGAAACGCGTGGTCACATCGATAGCCATGATTTGGGTTATCAGTGGATTAATATCAATACCGCCGCTCATTGGCTGGAATGACTGGCCGGACGTCTTCGACGACAACACTCCGTGCAAACTGTCCGAAGAGAAGAGCTATGTCTTGTACAGCGCCACCGGATCTTTCTATATACCAATCCTCATAATGACTGTCGTCTATTACAAGATATTTAAGGCCACCCGACGGCGGCTCCGGGACCGGGCGAAGGCCTCGGCTATGGCTAACCTCATGTCCACCTCCAAGAACTGTGTGTCCGAGAGTCACAAGATTGACATCGAGTCGGCCAGCGATGAGAAGACCGAAAAACAGTGCTGTCATAACAATAAGTCGGACGGTGTGTCCCCATTGAACAACCGGAAGGGCAGCTCCGGTAAGAGTAGTCTCAAAAAGTCTCAGAAGAATAGTAGCAGTAATGAGGACTCAGTCAACGACGAGACCAAAGAGTTGAGACCCAAAACGGCCGACAATAGCAGCGCAGAGCATATCATTGGTCCGGAGTTTGTGTCCACATTCAACACAACCACAACAACAACCGATACGGCGTCCACAGCGTTGACACCATTGGCGCCGACGGCCCACAGTATCGCCGATCACAAGACAACACTTGTCGTGAATCAGTCGCAGAGTTTGTTGGCGTCGACAGTGAGCACAGGTTTGTCTCTCAACACCACCACAACCAACACCTATCGACCCAAAGCCCTGTCCATAACATCCGTATGTAATGAATCCAATTGTGTAACTCAAGCCTCTAAACGACGTCCAATGGAGGAGACGTCCGGAATAGTGTCTGTAAAGAGGTTTTGGGAGGAAAAGCAAAAGATATCGCTATCGCGGGAGAGGAGAGCGACCAGAATATTGGGTATTGTGATGGGAGTGTTTGTGGCATGTTGGTAAGTCTATCACACTTTACAGTCTACTTTGTCATGCTATTTTTGCACACAGCTTATATTAATACGTGTTTAGATTTAGGCATTTGTAAGAATTTTGTTTAGTTTTTACATAATTATTATAAAGTTTTATATAGTTATAAATTTCTTTAATCATGATGACTAATTTAACAATGATTTATTACAACAAAATGCTAATGCAATCACTTATAGAATCTGACATTTTTGCCCATCTTTTACAACACCATTAAACTAAATAAATTGTTAAACTAATTGCGAAAAGCTGTCAAAATTAGACGTTAAATATGATTGTTTTTAGTGTTAAATAATTGCATTAAATACAAAAACAGACTCCGAGACAGAAAAGTCAATTTTGAGCTAAAAATTTCTTACAAATAGAGAGTTATATTCAGTGGATGTTGTCATAAGTTCTGTCAGTTATCTATTAAAAACACACCAGAAATGCCTTTCGGCGACTAAACTGCAACTTGTCATCCATTGAATCCATGATAACATTCAATATATTTAGCAGTTTTATGGCTATAGTAATGAAAACATTATTCGCTGTTATATTTCAAAACCAAATACTTATTATTAGTGTTGTTTTTTATTATTATTATTAGGTGAATTTCTCACTTTTACAGTTCTGAAATACAGGACTGTATTGGAGCGCAACATAATCTATATTCGGCACGTAATTAAAGATATTATCGCACAATCAATTGTGAACTAAAATTTCTTATCATTTATTACTACTATTATTAATACAGATCTATAAGACATTTGTCTAAACATTATTGTCTCGCCATTTGATTTCTCTTAGGCTACCCTTCTTTCTCATGTATTTAATTATGCCGTTCTGTGAGTCCTGTTATTTGCCCAAAGAGTTGGAAAGTTTATAATGTACCAACCCCATACATAACGTGTTCATAAATAATAGATATACATTAATAAGGATAAATATTTAGTGGCTCAAGTAACTAAAAGGTTCGTAAGTTTGCTCTGATTAAGTAGCTAATTAATTACACTTATTTATTTATTTCATTCGCTTTTATATTAAATGAACTTTTGTTATATACGAGAGATATAAATCACAATTTATATTAATAGGGATTTACTTATTGCCAGAATTTGGGTTTCGTATGAATTATTGAAAATACTATTGTTTTCGCATTTCAGTACATTTGCTGTATTCATCCGATTACTGAGTATTTGAGGAAAATTCAATGCAATTATATATAACCGTTCACTTAATACAGATATAAATATATTCATTTTAATTAAATGTGTGAACACATATAGAGATTACAATAATTAGCAGAGACTTGTAGTTAATTATGTGTTTACTAATCATATATTTCTCTGTCGTTTTCCAACAAATAGATACATCAATTCAGCGCTCAATCCATTAATATATTGTGGTTTTAATCGTGATTTTAGAAAAGGATTTCAAAAGATTATTTGCTGTAAAAAAGTGATATAAATATACAAAATGTTGTTTACAGCAGACAAAGAAAAAACAATATTTTTCACAAAACAAAATTCAATTTTTACAGTAAGTATTGTCTTTTCTCTCCTTGTTTTTGAATGGCATGAAATGCTAATTCATTTTCAATATTTAGACTATAAATCAATCAATTGTTGTCTCTATTGATATGAGTGTGTGAGTGTGTGAGTGAGTGAGAAAGAGAGGGAGAGAGAGAGAGAGAGAGAGAGAGAGAGAGAGAATTTCGCAAACAAAATCAATTTTGCATATTTTGCTGACAAAAAATATCCCATTGTTTTCTCAGATATGAAAAAATCATAAATTATTAAACGGATGGATAAAAGATGACTGACTTTCTATACATACATATAAATATAAAACTATAAAACTGTTTTTTGAAATTTTAATATTTAATACATAAAAATTGTGCCCAAAACTGATGGCAGAGAAAAAACTATTTT